TGACCACTGCACACATTGTGTAGCCCACTGTACATCAGCAGGGACGGAGAATGAACCATAACTTCAGCTAAAAACTGTTTGTTTTTTATATAGGTCAGAAAATCAGGTGATGTGTTGTGGATTTATTCAAAGCAGGGAGAAAGATAATTTTATTGAACTGTTTCAGAACATCAAAACTTTCATTTATGTCTTCTATTATTTCATTTTATTTTACGTTTTGGGTTGAGGAGTGGGCTTCCACGCTGTTATGACGGATGATGTGGCCTAAACCGAGGGCGACTCTTCTTTCTGCTGTTTCTCCGGGAGCAGCTTCTTCAACACACAGAGAGAAAAGGAACCATTAAATATCAAACACAATCAGGTTTTTGAGCATTAAGTCTAACATGCTTTCTTTTTTATATATAAAAAAAAGCATGAATTAAAATATTATCTGTTGTCATGCTCGTGCATTGGGCCCTGACTCAAATCCAGCTGTATGCAAAACCTCTCTGATGCTTCCAACGCCCCAAACCTCTCCTACTGGGAACCTCCCAATCTGAAAAAAAAAAATGAGTGGGGGGAAGGGTGGAGGTCACAGGGTGGTGCTGTATGATTATTGTAGATTAATACCTCCCTGGCCAAAATCATTTTTTAAATGCAGGAGGAATAAATGAGCTCTGAAAGATGCACCAAGACAAAGATTCAGCAAAACATTTCAAACATAAACTCATTTGTAGTGTTCTCGTCGTTAGTAAACCCCCCGCCAACCCCCTCCCCAAACATGCAGGTCACAATTACTCACCTTTACTTGTCTTTTGTGTCTGTTCTCCTTCCTTCTACCCCTAATGATGTCTGACTGAGGTGTGGGTTAATTGCAGGGTTAACCGGCAGCGTTGAGGAGCCGTGTGTTGTGAATATGAGACGAAAGCCGTGGTTTAGACACAGTGTGTGAAACAGAAAGGGGGGGGGGGGGTCCTGCATAAGTTTGTTGAATTGTTTCAGGTTTTACATGCACTGAGTGTGTGTGTGTATATGCGTGTCATCCACAGGCCACGAATGAGCATCACTGGGAGCAACGCTTTGAAGGGAGGTCAAAGAGTGGGCCTTTGTTTTCGTGTGAACGGCTGACACGGGAGATTTGTGTAAAACTCACCGCGTTACGAGTGACCTGTCTGGTTTCTACACCAGAAAACTACAAATGGGGGTTGGGGGAGGGGGGGGTTGCTCCTGATTTAACGGATTTGATTTGTTTTGTTAGTGGCTACAGGCAGGTTTCCTTGGTATTTAAGAAAACAATCAAATCCACACAATTTAAACCTGTACTGCTCATCTCAGGATCAGGAATCCCTCACAAATCCACTATTTTAGAGAGATGCACGGAATGCTCGTGACATTTAGTTAAAGCCATCAACATGCACACAGAAGCACATCTTCAGAAGAAAGCGCTTAAGACTCAACAGCCTTTTCAAACGTCTTATAATGCTGCAGAAACAGACGAAATAATGGCTCTTTTCTGCGGGCCGTGTGACAAGCAGATCAATGCAAACTGCTCCTGACATTTATCAGATAGAGTCGAGGACCTCTACATTAGCGCCCACGCTCACCTCCGTGGCGAGGTGGTGCCCGAGCGTTATTGATACGGAGACAAATGCAATTCATCCATCTCCAAAACATCCCAAATGAAGGTTCGTCGGTGTTTATGAAAGAATCGTTTGGGTGATGAGTCATCGCTCTGTGACACACAGGTGGCAGAACATTTCTCAGCAAATGTTTAATTCCTTAGTTGTCCTCAGAAACAACGACATGTCGGATTGTGAAGTCTATTTTTCTCGTTTGTAAAATAAGAGTTAAAAATCAAAAGCTCAAATCAAATTGAACTGCAGATTCATTGTTAATGCGTTATAACTGAATTCATTTATTGTATGGGATCTTGGCTAAAATCATGTTTCCTGAAACACAAAAGCAAGTTTATTAGCCATGACTAAATAATAAAATGCATCTGATCACATGAATTGATGACAATTTATATTTTCAGGTTGTATTTCAGCACCAAAACAAGCTTACCTGACTGTTGGGACAACAGGAGCTTTAATGAGGCTCTAAAATAGAAAATGGTTTTATCCTGAGAGCAGGCAGAAGATGCTGCATCAGCTCACCTTTCTGTCCATCCACCGAGTGTATACACACACACACACACATCAGTCGACCTGCACGGTTTGCCATCAGCCACTGTTTGTGGTATCTGGACATACATTATTACCATTTCTCCTCGGGGTGGCCCCCCTCGCATTCAAATGATGGGCCGGCTGCCTGATCGCAGAGGACAGCTTACTAGGCCTCTTGAATTGTTCGAMGGGAACAATGACTTCCTTTGTGGACGTGTTTCTCTTTCTCTCAGCGGACAATGCCAGAGGGTCCTTCTGGCTCTCTGCACTTAAGAAATGTTTGCAAAGTTACACCTCTTTATACGCCTCTCAAAACAAGGAGCAGTGCCAGCATGAAAGTGTGGGAGGTTTCTGAGGGGTGAAATGCAGCAGAGATGG